TCCACCCATGCCGCCGCTCATGCTTCCACCGCTGGTACTGTAGGTAGTGGTTTTGAACGAAGTCATGGCTGCTGTTGTCTATGAAGGGGTGAGGATCAGACAGAGAAAGAACAGGATGAGAAAGAGAAATCCAGAGCAGGAGAGCTCACTAAGAGGAAAGTTAAATCCCTCTGAGTGCCTTCTTCAAGGAGTGCAGCAGCTTTTATACCTTATGCTACGGGAGGGGCTCACCTGACCACTCCCCTTTCAGCCTCAGGCTCTTGTCCTGCCTTTCGCCCCTGTCCAAGTGATATACACACCCATCTTGCTGGGCTGGTATGGGAGTACTTTCAGCAGAGAAGGCCTGGCCACACCCTGACTTTTATGCATACACACTCACGTCAAGTGGAGAAATTAGGAGAGGAACAGGGAGTAGAAAAACAAGGTCAAACTACCTTTTTGCAAGTACTACAAAACCTTTATATTTTACTAGTGCTCTGTAATCCAAAGCACTTTAGTTAAATAACCAGATGGCATTCTATAAACTTAACGCATGGAAAACTATACAACTCCATGCATATTTCATGATTTTGGGAGGTTCAGGGCTCTCTGTTTGCTTTAAGCACCATGCAGGAGTATTAAATAGGGGAATATTTGATGAAGGGCTTAAATGTTGAAGCTTGGCGCTCGTCCTGGAAGCCATAGTGCCTTCTTCAAGGAGTGCAGCAGCTTTTATACCTTATGCTACGGGAGGGGCTCACCTGACCACTCCCCTTTCAGCCTCAGGCTCTTGTCCTGCCTTTCGCCCCTGTCCAAGTGATATACACACCCATCTTGCTGGGCTGGTATGGGAGTACTTTCAGCAGAGAAGGCCTGGCCACACCCTGACTTTTATGCATACACACTCACGTCAAGTGGAGAAATTAGGAGAGGAACAGGGAGTAGAAAAACAAGGTCAAACTACCTTTTTGCAAGTACTACAAAACCTTTATATTTTACTAGTGCTCTGTAATCCAAAGCACTTTAGTTAAATAACCAGATGGCATTCTATAAACTTAACGCATGGAAAACTATACAACTCCATGCATATTTCATGATTTTGGGAGGTTCAGGGCTCTCTGTTTGCTTTAAGCACCATGCAGGAGTATTAAATAGGGGAATATTTGATGAAGGGCTTAAATGTTGAAGCTTGGCGCTCGTCCTGGAAGCCATTGTGACCTTCAGTCTCCTCTTTCCATTCAAACAATCAAGCTTCTGTTCTCTCACCTCAATGGCTCTGTCACGGACACTACTTCACCACTCCGTTCTGTGGTTCCCAGAGGGCTGATGCAGTTGCATGCAAAGTAGATTTTTATGTTACCTCATATTAAAACACATAGCAGAAACTTTATTGGGTATGTCAACAGCTTTGTTTGCATTAGCATGCTAGACTTTAACTTTAGTTTGGATAGTTACAAGTGAGTATCAGAACAGTGCATGGCGGCTGCAAGAGCAGTGTGGTTATTTTTGAAGCTGTCCTTAGGTGGCATTATTTAGCAACACGTGCTGCTTTTGTTAGCATGTCAGTATCGCCCCTATCATGTTCAAGTGTCAGCGTGGATCTGAAGACTTGTGGAGTGGACAGGTCTGAAAGATTAATTTAGAAAACTTGTAAGTATTCATCAGATAAAGTGAAGTGTACAGCAGGTTTATTGACATGAGCTAGCTCATTAACAGGGACTTCTATAAACATAGCCACTTGTCACTGAGAGGAAAAGCAAGCATATTTGTCTGTAGAAATTCAGGATGAGTCACTTTATTAACAAACATTGTTTACGTGGTATTTAGCCCCCTGTGCATTTTTCTTAAAATGGTACAGCCTATTGTTAATCCATTGATCTGAACAGTGATACTGTGAAGTACCCCAGCATTTTCTTTGAATGCATACAATGCAATCTGTCAGGAGATAGAAGTTGCACAATGTGGGAGATTGAACTGTGAGATCAAAGATGTCTTGAAGCATCCCCTATAGAAATCATTATTTTTACGTGATTAGAGATAAACGCATGAATTTAAATTTTTCTACAGATGTGCGTTTAGCTTGGCCATGTGTGAAATTTGTGTATTCATATGTACTTGGTTGTTGTGACTTTGGTGTTATATATTTTATAATTACTCTCATAACAACCAATCAATTAATTTAAGATGAAAGAGTAGGGCATTTAGGGTGCAACCGTTGGTATAACATATATTTTCTTTGGGACATATGAGAACATTGGTTTAATAATCAAAACAGTTTGGTTTATTCAATTGAGTTATTTGAACGACTAAACTGCCTTTTAGAGACAACCAAAAAAAAAGTAATATACAGTAATATGTACATATACATACTGTCATAATATAAAGTAATATATATATATATATATATATATATATATAACAGGCCTTACAATAAATCATACTGACAGTATCCATAATGGCTGAAATATCTAATGTGGAGCCAATTTTTTGTGATCAATGAATATTGTAAGTATACAGTGATGCCAATGACTTTATTACTGAAATATAAAAGTATAGAGGGTCAACCCCAATCTAGGGTTGAGAAGTAAAAACAGTATTAGAGTCCCCTTTTTATCTATTTTTATTATATGTATCATTTGATGTGCTATATATATATCAGTTTATATTAATTATGAATGCTAATTTTCTCAATTTAGATGACCTTTTTCACAGTTAATCTTTAAAGACACTAACAACACTTAAATGTAATCCCAAATATTTTGAGAATTTTTCATACTGAACATTATAATTTTGTGATGACAATTCATATGATAGCATTTTGTCTGTTTTATTTTTTTATTTATTTAGACAAAATAGTATTGATTTTTACTTTACTGGCCTGTAACAATAGGAAGAACACTTTAACATGGCAAAACACGATTTAAGATGTGCAGCAACAACAATGTCTTGGACAGTTACATTTTAGGACTAACTGGTACTACCCCGTATTACTGTAGTACAGCCTAACATATCATTTGGGTAAAAAAAAAAAAAAAACAAATATTATAAAACTGATTCTAAATTAGTTTTAGAGGCACATTTGAAGCACATCCCACTCTTTATTTTCTTATTGCACCATGTTTTTACAATAACAAACCGTAGTCTTTCCTACAAATAACCAAGAAAATGGTACATCAAACTAGGTTGCTGTAACTTCACATAGTGCATCATACCCTACTGAATGGCGTTTCAGCTTCCAATTTATCCCCATCCTTGTTCTCCCAATTGCAACAAAGGATTCATGGTTGGTGATAATGGATGACACCTGGTGTTAATCAGCATTGCCTGCTGCAGGAAAGCGAAGGGGTGAACAAAACCAGCAAAAGAGTTTCTATTGATTGAATTGAAAGTTGACATTTTCAGTTGGCGGTGAGCATATTTGGCAGCGTCTATCTTAATGAGGCCTCAATGAAGTTGGCCCAGACCTTAAGCCACAACAATTTTTTTGTCCACTGTCTCCATCTCTCTGATGTCTGTGGAGACATTCCTGCAATATGCATAGCTTTATACAATTTAAGATATTTCTCTAAAGACTATTCTCTAATGTATAGCTACTTTCTTATGCCATGGCTTGTGCCTTTTTGTTTTTACCTAAAATCTAACTGGTATAATATTTTACAGTCCAGCATGAATCATGAAGAACTATAGAAATTGTACAATGTGGCCTCTGTTTAATCCAGGCATCACCAAACAGTGCAACAAAGAAAAGTGAATCGTTGGTCGGTTAGTCATACTGTGTTTGGGATTGTCTGAACATGTAAGCTGTGATTTTGTTCTACACATTAGGTGGGGCCCAAAATTGCCAATAACGCAATGCTTGAAATTTGTCCAGATCCTGATTCATTTATTCACATATTCACTGGAGTGACTTTTTACTGTCTTGTACACTGGGTTGTAACTTCCAACCGTTTCATACTTTTACATGATAATGTGTCTGTAATTTATTACATAGCTTCCGTGTGTTTAGTTTTTGACTGCTTTGTTCTAAACTTATCTCTGTTCTCAAAGAATATTTGTTGGCAGTGATAAAAAGAGAAAGTTATGGCAACAAACTTGCAAAATCTTAAACAGGATTACACTCTCTACATCATATTTCCAATATATACTGAAGAAGCATTTCAAATTATGTGCAATGAAAAAGGGAAACCAGTGACAAGTTTTTCACAGCTTTACTCTACAATAATGTCTCATATTTTCAGTCTTCTATAGTTTATGATGGCATAAAGGCAGAGCAGCTCTCGAGCTGAAATCTGAGCGTTGCGTGCTTGCTCAGACATAGTCATGTTCATCATGCTGAAACAAGGGATATCTTCCTTTTCATGAAAGCCCACCAATCATTAGTGAGTAAGATGGGTCCCACCTTTTCAGACCACACCCTTTTTTCTTGTCCACAACCAAGCCTTTGAGATTACTTTCCAAATATGGTTACAACCATTCACAAGAACATGGCCTTATGGACTAATAACTGTTTTCATGAAATAAAATAACATTTGCTTCTGGGTGGAGTGAAGTTTGTGCGCTCAACTCCTGCATCAAACGGATTCTGCAGACCGGCCTCAATTTCCCAGTTTGAATTACATAATGGGAATAAATAAAGAGAAGAAAATGTAAAATGAAAATCTTGTGTGCATCAAAATACACTTTGTACACTTTCACTTGAGTACAATAATGTGTACTTCTACCTGACTGTTATAATTGTTTCTGGCTTTGCCTTCAAGCTTCTAATACTGAAACTTTGCAGAAACATTCAACAATACTTGTCAGCACAGGCTGAGGAATGCTTCAGATGTCGCCTAAAATCCTTGCACAGCACAAGGTTCATTATGACATCTTTTTTTGACATTTCTGTTTAATGTCAAAAACATTTTTGATGATTTTCCGGGCCTCAGCGTTAGCATAAGTTTGCATGTGTAGGTGGGGCTATGTGTGCGGCTCATCTTTGGATAGAAGGAGCCCCTCACGTATAACTCGTTTGAGTTTTCCCATAGGAGTGCCTTTAATTATTCGGATGATAACTGAAACGTCCTGTTCTATCATAGAGTCTCCAGGCTGAGTCAAAGGGCTGGGCCAACAAGCTCTGAGAAAAGGTGTGATTGAGGCCCCTTTTCTTTCATAAACCCGACTTAACCTGGACCAGCCAGGTGTGGTGATGGGTGTCTACAATAAATGTGAGTGCACGTGGGAATTGGTGTATATGAAGTAAATGACTTGTCAAAGTCTAGAATTGCTTGGATTTCACTTGATTTCTCTGTCCTGTTAAGTGATATTGCATTTCAAAAGCCTACAGATAATTACATGCAGGAAGCTTTCACATGCCTACAAGTCATTTAAGTTATCTGTGTTTAAATAGAAATACAATATACGTTCTGTTTTGAACTGTAAATTTTACTTTATGGTATAGTTTCACTGCATTTGTAACCTCCAGTTTCAAGATACTCTCAATAACTACCTATATATTCGGACAGATCTTGCTTACTGTTGTTAATACTATGCATTTAGCATAACCTTTTGCTTCAGAAAGATTCTCTTTTGGGTGTGCAATGCAATGCATGCTTGGTTTAGTGTACTGAAAGATCTGCTATTACTACCACAGTTATCATGTCACTATCTAGCGTCAATGAGATGTTCTATATTATTCACACATATCTTCAACACTAAAACAAATTCATTTCACGAATTACTGATCGGCTTGTATGGATTGAGTAGAAAAATGGGAAACATGATTATTTTTACGATTTGACAGTATTGACCAATGCAAATGAACAATTAAGGCATAGGCATGTCAACAAAAACACTGGAAAAAATATACTATTTATAAGATATCTACATCATAGGGAACATGTCAGGAATTATTTGATGAAGGACACAAATCTTTCTCTGCCTTCACACATCTAGACTCCTACGTTGTCTATGGTGTGATATAAACTCCAGTTCATGGTCTTAGGAACAGCAGCTCTGAACACACCAACTCAGCTGGGATTCGAACCCACAACCTTTGGCTACAGCCATCTGTGTTCTTACAGCCTGAGCTAACATGCCACTTACCAAATGAGAACCAACATGACTTTAAAGTTATCAGTGAGAATTCTTTGATAGTTCTAAGTTTGTTGGCACCAAAACGTAGTTGTCTGTATGTGGAAATATGAACACAATCCTGCGTGGGGGCTTCTCAGTGGAGAAAATGGATGGTTTTGTGTCTTTCGAAAATATGGCCTGAAACTGAAAACAAAAATCTTTTAGTTAGAAAACCTTTTGCAGACTTAAAATGTAATGAAAATGTACAACTAATTAAAGATGGTAATATTCTTCTTAAATATGGTGCTGTGTTATTCTACTTTTATTTTAATGTTGTTTTGTTTATTATTTTTTATTTTGTGTAGTTGCCAGAGTTATTGTCATTAACTAAAACAAAAGCTATTAAAAACTTTTCTGTTAAATGAAATGAACTTAATTTAGCTGAAACAAATAAATATTAGATGATGAATATTAGATGAAATAATAATATAAATATTATAATGAAAAACGTAATATCTAACTTAATAATCTAAATATTAGATGGAAAAGTTGCTTTGGCAACTACCTGAAATAAGTTGAAGTTGAAGCACTAAAATTAAATAAACTGGAAAATGGAAATAAATTTAAACTAATAACAAAAACTAAAACTGAAATAAAAATAAATTAAGCCTAATTAATAATATTAAAAAATATATAAAAATGACAAAGGCACACAGCAAAATTCATGTAAAATTAAAATTATACTATGAAAAGTTAATTCAAGATATTAATAAAAACTATAACAAAGAATATAAATAATACTAAGATAACACTGGTTATAACAATTATTTTTATGAATGCATGTGTATGTTTATTATTTTTTATATTTTTCTGTTTACTATGGCTGGTCTTCATTACTGTATATTCAACTAAAAAAAAAAGTTTCAAGATGTACCATTACATTATATAACCTCCAACACATTATATGTGGCATGGCATCAAAAGTAACTGATGTTATCTAGCATTCTTGACACGGGTCATAACTTGCCTTTGATAATTACTGCAAGCACTTTTTTGAGGGGCAAGGTCCCAACAATGCTTTTTACCTCTTGATACCAGATCGAACTGGCATGAGCCAGCTTGTAGTGAAAAATGCAAAACTAACAAGGGAGGCCTCTTTTTACTTTTCTGAATCATACATTTGGCCTGAGCACCATAAGACTCACAAAACATCCTCAGTGAGAGTGTCAATTACCTCACAGTTGAGACATGCCCTCACCGAGTCATAAATGAATTGTTTGTTTTATGATGTATTTTGACTGTAAATCTGTTGTTGCTTCTAGCTATTGGTGTATGAAATGTCACTGACATCACCACATAATTCACAAAGTGTAAGTACATGCATACAATTGCTGTTAAAATTAAACAGCAGTTTATTAAATTAGCTGTCTAGCTAGCTAATATATTATTTATTAAGTTAGTGAGTTGGCTTTATGCTTTAAGAATCATGAACAAACAGAACAGTAATTCTGACAGTATTTATTCATCTTTTAAATTAATATTTATTAATTAATTAATCTTGTCAATTGCTGAGATAGAATCCAGCACCCCCACAACCCTTAACTGGGCAAGCAGTTTGGACCGTTTGACAGATGGATGAATGAATGGCATCATAAACAATCGAATTGTTGATGAATGAATTGAATAGTTCATAAACAATATATTGTTCATTTTCAGTTCATTGTTAATGCATTAACTCTGAACTGCTTGATATAAACTCAGAATAGCAATTGCAATGTCATAAAACTGCTGTCTTTTGCACATTTGACTGTGAAGCGCTTTCTACCCTGCAGCACTTTTAGCACTCATACTACAATGACTGATTGGGATAACATGTTGGACACACCTCTACCACTTGGGCGTTTGAGTGCGTTTTCTGTCGGTGTGCTGTGTGAACATGTTGCCTTTTTATTGTAAGTGTAAGAGAATCTACTAGAATATTTAATTCACAGAAAGAGTTTTAGTCAATAAAAACTAGGAATGATGTTGATGTAACTAGTGCTACAAAAGACCATCTTGTGGATCGTGTCATGTCTCGACAGATCATTCTTGATCTTGGCATCTTTGGTTCCATGAAGAACCTTTAACATCCATGGAAACGTTTCTTTATATTGTAAAAAAAGACTGAACTGTTCACTAAATGTCTATTTGGGAAACCCTAAATGGATTTTCTATGGCATCACTGGGAAACCACTTTTTAGGACCTTTTATTAAAGAGTGTTTTTGAGTTGTTCACTGGCACTGGTTTCTGTAAAGCCACTCATTGAACAATATGTTTTGTGAAAAGTGCTGTACAAATAAAATAGCCACTTACATTGAAACAAAAGCAGAGAATGTATGAATCAATGCAGGAGACATTAGCATAAATTGGAGTGGATGGACTTGTTTTGAACCAGCATCGCTTCTCAATAGGTGTGGTCAGTATGATCTATGACATTGTTCTAATTCTTCGTTATTATTTCCTTTGGGTAAGACTGAGAATGGACATCTGAGACTCTGGAAACCCTTGGGTCACATTGACCCTTAGGCGTGGTGGCCCGTATCTGTTCTGTGCTGGTTTCAGGATTCAGAAAGCATTCAAACCTGTAACTCTTGATGGTCCTGACAAGCACTTTTTCTATGCAGAGAAAAGAGTGACAGGCAGATGTCCAAAAGGCATGTACGAACTCATACACTGCAGTAATACACCACAGAGTTGAAGCTAACATCTGTTATATTTGTGTTTTTTGTGCATCTCACATTAGTCATATCACTCTGTAAAAGTCTCTCTGTTTGATAGAAAAAATATGGATTCAAATAGTTTTTGAGTTTCGTCTTCTGGTTATGAGCTTGGTGGGCACGACTGAACCTGTGCAACAGCTGTATTGTTATATAAACTCAGTACTTTTCCCATGCTTCTGCGATACATCTTTTTAATAATTGCAGTGACATGAGTGTTGATGCTGACCTAATAGCAGTGGCACAGCTTGACTTTTCAGTATATGAGTGTGCATGTGCATAAGTGAGAAAGCAACATAATCTCATTGGTAAAACTACATAAAAAGTCATGCATTTGTGTAGATACTTATTATCGACAACGTAAAACACCAGCATTTGACATATGAACAATTTTAGAAAGTACAAATGTTTACAGATCCCTTTTTGGGTCATAGTTTTTTTTTTAATGTGTATCAGATTTTGTCTGATTGTCACTGAAAAAGAAAACTGCTGTAAAAAATTCCAGAAATTGCTAGTAAATTTCACAAACAATAACAAAGACACAAGTAACACATTGAATTAAATATGACATTTTAAAATAGAAAAACTGAAACAATATTTTCTTGTAAAACAAACAACAATAATACCTTCAAAAAATCTTTTTATACAGTATATATGAGATTTTATTTCATTTATTGTATATATGTTCATGTATTTATAACTTTACATGTTAAAATGTTAAAAATAAATGTCAAATCTGTCATCATTTAGTCATTGCTTAACCATATAATTCATATTTTGTTTGCTGTAAGACATCGACAGCTAAAAAAGACAAATGCACTATATAAAATATATTACAAAACTGTACAAAATATAACTGTACCAGTATAATGTAAAATATTCAATACAAAATATTTTTACATTTCTAAACCTGTGCATATGGAAAAATGTCCACGTTTTAGATGCTGTTAATATGTTCATATTGTTTCAGTGCATATCCAAATGTATGTGTAAAAGCTTTGTACAAACACCTACACTGTCAAAAATTACTGTGACTTTAACGGTAAAAGACTGTAAAAATGCTACAGTAAAAACCTGTTAAATGGTTAACGGTAAATTCCCCTACTATATACGGTGAAAAACTGTATTGGACATTACATGTATTGGACATTAATTTTACAGTATGAATACAGTTTTTGTAAGTGAAAAAGACCGTATAATTTACAGTGAATAACCGTAAATTGACATTCCCAGAATTCCCTGAATTGCATTTCAAATTTGATGTTTTTTTGTTGAAATAACCATGTTTCTTCTTAGTTTTTTCTTATCAGTTTTGTACATTAGGGTTGTGTGTTACACCTAATGTTGTTAAATGAATGTTTATTGCATTATTTCAGTTTCACGTGTGTTACCATGATGGTGTTTAGTGTTTGTGTGAATGACACTGTGCACCTTCTATATATGTTATTATTTAAAAGCTGCTTGTGATGGGCTTTGGTTCATCATGTGACTTTCTCATCACCACCTGCATTTGGTGGTTATCAGTGTATTACAAAGGTTACAAAACAGATTTCAGTACTTCAATAGGTTGGTACATTAACATTATATCAGTTAATGAAATTACGGTATTTTACTGTAAATTTAAATTAAAACCGTAAAACCTAAAATGTTGCTACCGTAGTTTTTACGGTAAAATTCCGGCAACCACAGCTGCCCTTTTTTTACCGTAAATTTTACAGAATTTTTTTTACAGTGCACACACACACACAAATCAAGAATAACCACCAACCTGTTTGTTCGTCAGTATCTTCAGTCTGTTTGATTCTGCAGGGTCACGTTGTCCCTGTAATGAGTAGCCTAATGAGGAAAATTTCAAACAGCTGCCGTTTTTTTACCGTACATTTTACGGAATTCTTTTCACAGTGTATACATGCAGTAATAATGAGATCAGCCAGGAGAAAGTCTAAGCTTGAATAATTGATTCTCTGAAATTATTTAAAGCATTTTTTTGTGAAATAATGTCAATATGACTATATAATGAAAAGCCTGTGGCACTGAAACTCTAATGAGAGCTACTCTAAGCTACATTCCCATTTTCAAGGCATTTTTACAGTAATACACACAGGTGTGCATACAAACGGACACGAAGTACTGCATGCTTTGCTATTTCAAACTAGCTCAGGTTATTGTGAAATCACCAAAAATGATGTTTTTAATTTATTTATGTTTCTGGTTTATATTATAATCACCTCAGTAACTGCTGCATGCACAATCATGTATAATTGGAGAATTGGTCGTGCAAAGCTAAACATTTTTTCAACTTTCTGTTGAACCTGTCTGGATGTTTGAAATATGAAGACATCACTTAGGAAGAGAAATTATATTTGCTGGAGCAAAGGGCTGTCTGTGGCTCCTGTTTGTTCTCAAACCTATCTGTGAAATATATAGACAATGTGCAGAAAAAGTGTTATTTTCAGTGTTGGAGGAGGGGGAAATATCTCTCGATGTGTGAAATTTTAGCCTTAAGGCAAATGCCTATTTGGTAATATTATTTTGCTGGATACAATACATGAATTTTCAGCAAATTAATTTGCATTTATTCATTTGATCAGTGTCAAAGTGATTTATAGGTAGGCCATAACTTGTCAGTGAATAGGAGTGGCTGTATTTTGGTTGATTTTGGATTGAGAAAGGTGTGTCAGTGTTTGTCCCACACCAAAAAGGATTTTAAAGGCTTATGGGTTTACACAATGATGGTTTATCATCTTACTAAACGTGAACACAATATGCTTTAAACAGACAGAGGTGTTAAAAGGTTAAAATTTAAGAATGTGGGTTGTGAATAGGGTTATTAAGCCATATTCTGATTTGTTTGTTTTACATGAGGACGTGATTCATGGGTGGTTTTATTTTCTCTGTAATTGGAAATGTCAACGTTTTTCTCCCACCAGAGAGACAATTTTCAGCCAAATGACAAACACATGTGAACAAACATTTAAACATGACATGAATTTATTTTTAACACTTTATAATAAATGATTTAGTGAGTTACAGGATTCTGTATGTGTCAATATGTTCTCTTAATGTAAATGTATAGGGAGCAGACAATGAGTTGTGTTAGCAACAATTCAAAGTTTAAAAATACAACTTCCAACCGATCTTCATTACTTTGAATTAATTTTACAAAAAAGAAAATTGCTTAAGGCTTGAACAGCTCTGCTCCCAACCACTAGAATATGGAAATAACTTTTACTGTACTTCTGATTACACTACAAAAAATGTGATGTTCTTCCTTAATGTTTTTGTCTTGTTTTCCAGTGCAAATGTCTAAAGAGGTCTAAAGGTTCTTAAAAGATTCTTAGATCAAAATGATGTTTATGATTAAGAAAGAACAAACATCTACCAATTGGCTTAGAAAAATCAATTTATATCAATAGGAAAACAAGTTTATTTCCCACTGACAGATAATTGTTCCTGTTTTAAGCATTTTTCAAGGCTTCATTTTACATATGCATCTCAAATAAATGTACCTTAAATATTTGTATTTGAATAAATGTAAAAAAAAATGTGTTTAAATATTTGTATTGGAAAACAAAAAAAAATATGAGGAAGATTTTTTATTTTTT